GACAGAATATAGTAGGAAGTATTAATCATAGGGGGAGAGTGAGTGAGTGAGTGAGTGAGTGAGTGAGTGAGTGAGTGAGTGAGTGAGTGAGTGAGTGAGTGAGTGAGTGAGTGAGTGAGTGAGTGAGTGAGTGAGTGAGTGAGTGAGACAAGGGGTGAATATCTCCAACTATCCAAATACAAACATAAATGTAACGATGTCTATATTGAAAATATAATCGGGTAAATACAATTCTCAGTATCAAACTAACTAGAATACCATTCAACAAACAGTTATAAATAATTATGATAGATATATGAAGTATAATTACTAACATAATTAACGATTCAATTGACCCAGTCAACAAAACAAAACAAAACAAAAAAAAGCACAACATTTTCACATTCAATTATTATGTCTATCAATTCTCAATAATCAAATATCAATCAATCAACATAGTGAACATCGTCTAAACAGATTCATCATAACACGATTTATAGCATTGTCAATCAATTCATGATTTCAATCATTAAGATCATGAGTCAGTTGAAGCTAGACCACCATGGAAAACCTGGAAGCACTGGACAGCCGTTTCGTCCTATTGTGGGACTCCTCAGCAATGCGCATCCACGACCTCGCCCCCTGCGAGACTCGAACCCAGGACCTACTGGTTTCGCGCGCGAGCACTTAACCACTAGACCACTGAGCCGGCATCCAACGGTGTTCATGTCTAACTTCAACTAATCTACGAAATTGAGCGACACATCCACCATTGTCTTCAGTGAGTTTCTATTCCCACAACAGACCTGGTTGAACTCCACTGGTCATTACTTCTCACTAGAACTCCAGGATATACCTCTTGAAGCCAGTCACTAGTGAGCATATGTTGATTATTATCAGAAGGGGTTTTGTGGAGATTGTAGTGATTTCAATCATTAATAATAAACTTAGATATAGATAAGATGAAGTTTTTGGTGGAGTTTTACACTTTGTGCTGAATAGTTTAGTCCTGGAACTTTCATCGTTACTTCTTTATTTTGATTGTATCTCCGATTGGTTTGATTCATGGTCCTATATTCTAATTAGTTGATAGATTGAATCCAGCTGAAAGAATAAAATTCCACCGAAAATCATCCAACTGAACTACAAATTTTTTCAACCATCTTAAGAAAGTGAAGTGATAAGTTGGAACTGTGATCAGGATATAATTATTTCTTGTTCTAAACATTAAGCTCACAACAAGTGGATGATATTTAAACAAAGACGAAACAGAGTAAAATGAGAAGAAAAAAGTCGTTAAAATGTTAACATTTGCTGACATTTAATTAATCTTTTGAATAATCGGTGAGAGCAGTTTTGCTCTATGCTTGTGAAACCTGGCCTCTTCGAGTTGAGGATGTTAGACGACTCTCTGTGTTCGATCATCGTTGTCTCCGAAGGATTGCTGGCATCCAGTGGCAACACCATGTCAGTAATGCAGAGGTTCGGCATCGAGTGTTCGGTCACAGAGACGATAATGAAATTGGTGTCACCATCTTGAAACACCAACTTCGGTGGCTTGGACATGTTCTACGAATGTCGTCCCAGAGAATTCCTCGTCGTGAATTATGTGCCAACTCTGGGACTGGTTGGGAAAAGCGGAGAGGTGGTCAGTATATGACATGATGTCGTAGTATGAAAGAAAGCTGCAAAGGGCTAGCTACTGTTGGTCCTTCACGACTCCCTGGCTGTGGTCCGAGAGATGGTGTAACACAGAGGCTAGAAACGTTATCAGATATGGCTCAGAATAGAAGCCAATGGCGATCCTGCTGTAACCTTCTTTTACTTTCTTCATAAAAAGTGGTTGTATCTTCCTTAACTGAAAGATTTCTTCTGATTGTACCTTTTTGTTTCCCCCATTATTACTACTATTACACTACCTTACACTAATCTGGTCGTTATTGTTCTCTTTTTTTTATAATTCCCTACGCTCCTTACCTTTTTTCCCTTCTCTTTAAATTCCCATTGTTTTGTGTGGTGCATATATATTTGGTGCTACCTTGTACCAATATTTATGTCTTCAAATAAAAATAAAAAATAAAAATAATCAAGCAACATATTTTCAGCTTGATGTTTCATGAAAATCATAAACAAATGGCATGTTGTAGTAATTGAGGGTATGTGAGTTACAAAGGTTAGAACAATATACCTTGATCGATTTTCCCGACCGTAGCTGCTACCTTGACGTGGTGGTCGGGCTTGCCTATCGTGATGACCCAACCGAGCTATATTGGCTGGAACACATGTTCCTGCAGGTTCTACCATACCAGGCAGGTCGATTGGAGAACGGTAAGACTAAAAGCAGCAACTCAAGGTCTGAGGGCGAAGTCGTACTGCTGACTGTACAGAGGTGTGACAGCAGTAAGGTGTTTCCCTCGGACAACCAGCATCTGCAGCGATGCTGCCTTCTCACAAGGAAGGAAAGGGTTAGAGAAGGTCGACCCTAAAAATGTCACACCTCACCTTACCCCACGGGTTTCCGTCTCCGGCGGTAAGGCCCTTTGAAGAACGGAGCTAACACATTGAAAGCCTTACACAAAAAGGCCGTGCGCGACCGGCCTCAAGCAGTTGTCCCTTGGACTCTGTGGTCACGCTCCCAGGTCGTTAAGGCCAACACTAATCCGATTTCCTTTTCAGGTCCCTCAAGAAATACCCTTCCACGGTGTGGGCAGCCGGGAAGTGACATCAACCCCCATACCCGTAACTGACTGACTGATCGATTGTAGGTAGAGAATTTTTATTGGCATGAGGAATAGTTAGGCAGTGATAACAATGATGTAACTCTAGTTAGTCTAACACTTCAGTTAGTTCTGACAATGAATTTCAAAATTATACATATTACTGATTGCAATCAATAGTTCATATTGAGGGAGTATTCAATTAGCTATCTCTACAATATTTATTTAAGATTCTATCTATGACACTTTTGTATGCATATGTGTGTATATGTGTACGTGTGATTCAGATAAGGAAGCACATCGAGCTAAACCTGAAACTATCACCACAACCAGATGTTCCGATTCAAGAATGTACTGATAATCAATCAGTTATATTACATTTAAAAACCAATTCTGCATCAATCAGACAAAAGGCTAAGAAATCACACCAATCTACTGTTTACAGAAATCTGTAATTATCTAATTGAATTGAATGTATTATCTATGATTACATATAAATAGACCGAATCATGTGCTTTACAAGAATTCAGTTGAACTGGACTACAACAGCTCATTCCAAAATTAAGTATTAATTAAAATGAAGAATCAACCATAGTTAGTGTACTGAAAGATAAACCAAGTGTACAATTAATTTGAAATTGATGTAATCTCCTCCTACTCAAACACATGCACATTATGTAAATACATGTACATTATCTTTATATCACCATGATTTTGATAATGAGTAAGATTATTATTTCAAAGATACAATGCGGGTGTGTATTTACTCATGTAAAAACTAAATGCAAAGTTGCTGTGCATTAATTCTGTAAGTGAGAATATACATATCATGTCACATATATACAGATTATATATACATATACACATGTAGTCAGTCAGTCAGCTATAACGTAAAACCAGGTATATATATGCATTGATCAAAGTTGCAACGCAGCATTAGTACAACAACATCAACATCAAATTCATACAAATAGGTACTTCAATCGTAGTAATATATAAAAATAAAGATTGTACATAAGCATATAATACAGGAAGAAAGAATTAGGTCGTAGAAACAAAGGTACACAGTAATTTCAATCTCAAGTTTAAGGGAAGACAACGAATGTATACACCTACGTCATTGTGATCGATTCTGAACCACATCGCCTAGAGTCTCTAACCATTGGTTACGATAGTCACGCGGACCCCAACCAAGTAGTCTGTATCTACCACCAACATGACTCAGACTAGACGTTGGTGACTTTAAGCACTGATGCCACGTTTTGGTTTGGCCGACCCTAACTTTCTTCGAACCATCCCCAAGACCGGTTAGCATTGCGCGTTGTGGTAATCGGTATTCAGGCATACGTAACACGTGGCTCAACCATCTTAGTCGACAAAGATTCACAACCTCATTATTCCATAATAACCTGCGTCTAATCTCACTACTACTTACCGGGTAATCCAAGCAGATTTTGGCAATACTTCTAAGACACCTATAATTGTGTATTTACTTGTCAATTATGAAACATGCTATTCTGAAATAAAAACGGATCTATGATTCCAATCACAAAAACCAAAGTTTCTTCACAAAAATTTAATTTTATACACAATTTTTCCCATTTATAAATTTGAGTTAGATAACAACAACGATTGAGGTAAAATACGGATATTGAAACATCAATATCATGTATGCTGTCGATAAATTTAGGTTCGTTTATTAGTAATTTATATGCATATAAATAATGTAAACGTGTGCTGACTGAATGGTTAATGCATTCGACTATCAACCAATAAGTTTCAGGCTATAAATTTGCTCTACCGACATAGGTTTGAGAAAACGGTCAGTAGTGCTACCACTGTAGTGAACAAACAATGAGATGGAGAAGACCAATTTATTATTTGGTGCACAATCACGTAGTAGTTTAGTAAAATGTGAAAATCATACATCAAACACATCATTTGCACATCTGCTTTGAATTATCCCTTACAAACTTTATTGTTACTTTATTCCTGTTGTTACCTCGATAGTTTTCAGTTTCCTTCTCTCTTCTTTTCATTTCAATCCTATCAATCTTTTGCTCGTAGACATTTCAATTCCGACTGATGTTACATACTACTTATATCTGGAACCATAGGTAGCATACATCATACTACTACTAATAATCATTATGTTTTGTGGTTTCGGGTTGAATAAATGAATGTATACTATATAAGTGAGTTATTATTAAAACTCCAAGTACATTACATAAACACAGGAATTTTAATAAATTGATAGATAACCAACAACATAAATATGAATGACAGCAATAAAAAACAACCTACCATATTTAACGATCTCCTTGGAATACATGGTGATGTAACTCCTGCGGTGTGAGGTGTAAGTGTGCGAGAATTTGAACGATTATTATCAAGATGTTGATTACCAATGGTGTCGACTTGTGGTGATACATGTTTTGGTGAATTTCTTGTTTTATTATTACTATTATCAAGAGAAGAGTGAAACTCAGCACTAGTTAAAGAAAATCGATTCTTTGCAACATCACCACTATCACTATTCATTATTGTTAAACGTGAAGGTTGTTTTGGTCGACGTATTGTCACAAATCCACTGTCTGCCAGATTACTACTGCACAATGATGAGGCAAATGTTGCTGTATTAATTTTATCATCATAATCAACGACACCATGATTGTTATCACTGTAATTACGAGAAACACTGTCAACAGCTGACATTTGACGTGATTTAAGGCCTACAGTAGGCGAATCAGGATAATCCATAAGGCTTAAACGACTTAAATTGGTTATGTTGGTATTACGGATCAATAAAGTACGATCTTTTTGTTCTACATTTATAAAACAGAAAGAAGAAAAAATAAGTAATGAATCAACATGAAAGTAAGTGTATACATGTAAATGAAAGCTGTATTATACAGTTCAAAATTATATAACTAAGTTAAATCAATGGTGCAAAGAGGTCAGTGGAGATCGTTGAATTTTATGGTTCACATCACGAAATAATCTTAAACAACCACTAAAGACTAAGAAGTACTAGACATATGTTTATTTTCATGGTATGGGAGTGCCCAACGAAAACCACACTTGGTATCATGATTTGGCTGAAGTAATAGTAACACACAATATTGGGTCATAATTCGGCAGTTCAAAAGTAAAGCGTTCGCCATAATACCTTAATATCCCTGGTCCAATCTCTAACTAGGTCGCGGCTACACAGTGAACGCCGAGGAGTCCCATAACACGATAGATCAGCTATCCCGTGATTATTGGTTTTCATTGGTCTATCAACTAAAGTAAGTTCATGATGTATGCTCACAAATGAAATTTTTTTAATGAATGTCATTGCAACAGTTCTATAAATTAAACAAATTCCCTGGTACATTCGAGAGTGGAGAAAGTCTGGACACCCTCTCGAAATACTCTCACATGTCTACGAGTATACAGCCAGTGTCAGGGAAGTCCTATTCACTGCCTTTCTCATCATGAAGGTGTTGTTTACGAAATTGAGAGGACGGAAACCGAATGTCCGGCGATTAAACCGGGTTGAAAGGTAAGGAGGATTCAACGGGAGTAGTTTGGAAAACTCTAACCCAGTGCAGCATACGAGCTGAAAGAACAAAAGACGTACCAACCTACTGTTGATCACCAGTTATCATGGAACTGAATTCTCTCACGTTGTTCCACTGCCTTGTGGATTAGACCTTTAGGTCAAAGGTTCGGGGTGTGACCCTCTAAGTAAACCATCTAATTCGGTCTGAGTTTTCGGGCAGTATTCGAATGATTTGTATGGTGCATATATATTTGGTACCTCCTTGTACTAATGTTTGTGTGCTTAAATAAATTTATCATATTTGTCATCTCGTTAAAACTCCATGATGATGGTTAGATGTAGAATATTTTTTTAAAAAAAAGAAACACAGGAAAACATACATGAATCATGAATAGACTAAAATCTTTTTTATGACTTCTAAGCTTGAACCCCAAAAATGAACATTTTAAACATAACTAACCTAAACTAATCATTAAAGGAGTAAGTTTAAAATGATGTCTTTATTCATTGTGTGAAACAAACAAACATACAACATAGACAATATTCAACTAAGTGTAAATCATCAATCATACAATGAAATGACTTATTTTAATAAATCAAGAATATAAATGATGATGAGAACAATAATGGATAGATATTTTTCGTCTTTAAGAAAAAACACACAAAAAAAAACTAAACAGCTGTTTTGATGACGATGATGATCCATGTATCACATAAATGAGCGATCAGATAGGGATACAAAGACACACACACACACACACATACACATGAACGTATCATTTAACTAACAACCAACCAACCTAGTGACATATCTAACAACAATATTCGGCCGAATGAGATGAATTAATTTTTTTTTTATTTTTTGTGATGAATAGATTTACATACTTAGTAAAGAGACAAGTAGAAATGTAATACAAATGTAGCTGTCAGTCAATAGAGAGAGAGAGAGGACTAGAGAGAGAGGGGGGGAGAGGGAGATAATTTAATTCAAATTTGCATCAAATTACATAAAGGAGACATTAATAATAATAATAATAATAATAATAATAATAATAATAATAATAATAATAATAATAATAATAATAATTTTCTTAAGAGAACATAAGTAATGAAGGTTAGTTAGTATGGAAGTTTCGTATTTATAGATTTAAGAAATGCACGCAAATACTGACACATACACACTCATATATACGGAGAGAGAGAGAGAGGGGGGAGAGGGAAGAGGGAGAGAAGCATATGGGAACGAGTTTAGATTTAACAAAGAAATTCATGAACACTTCGTTAAACAATTAAAATAAAGTCTATCTAACTATGTGCTTTTAATTTGACATATAATGCCATGAATCGTAAGAAAATTAAAATAATTGAAGAGACACAATCAATAATATGGTAAAACTAATTGCCTATAAAATTTACTAGTAGAAGGTTTGTAAATCGATTGATTAGACTATAAGTGAAGTGGTTGGAATATGAGTTACATAAGGACAATCATCGCCTATATCAAATATTTTGTAACGGTTACAAAGTAATCATTATTAGGGATAGAACTATTAATAACTAATTGGATTTATCTAGGAAGATGCAGACTATTTGGTTAGGGTATTGAAGGTAACCATGATTGAAGATTGTACTTAGCTTAGTCTCTAATTAGCTGCAGTGTAGTAAATGTATTATCTAAGAAATATAGGAATTTAATACAATTTCATCGAACATATATTGTGTATACCCACCTTGATGGATGGGGGTGTCGACTAGTGTAAAAGTAAGTCTGAAAAAAAAAGCTAGGAGCTCCCAAACCAAGATGTAGTATCAAACCAAAAAATTAATAAGCCATTCTAATAGATGAACATTATTTGCGTCATCGTGACTGACTAATGATCCCGAGTGAAATGACTCAAAATCAATTGCCATAGTGCAAATGTATTCACTCTTTCTTTACATCTTTTATTGCACGAAAGCAACTTTCCATCTCAAATCACATTTTCTACACCCATCTCAAATCATATTTTCTATACCCATTCTTTTCACTATCACTATTCTGATATTCACCTTGTTAATTTTATTCTATAATCAGTTAACTAACACAGGTAGTTACATAACAGTAGGATTTAGAATTGAAATTAGATGTAAATATAAATGTTTTTATTTCATGGAAATCATGAATTGATCTAAGTGAGTCAACTATTGAAAACATAAAAGCAGTGGACAAATATTATTCTCAAACAGATCTTCATCAGGTTTTATACTTTAATATGTAGACAAATGAAAAAGATTTTAACTAATGCCAATGTAATGTATCAGTCAATGAAGGAGGATTATGCAGCTAGTGGAAATTGTAAACCATGATGACAAACGTATTAATTATAATAGAAATAGTAACAACCTAGATAAATGCTTTAACAACATAAGAAATAAGTCAAAACTTAGGAAGATATATATTAAAATCATTAGAAATCACTGTAATTACGAAATAAACAGTGTGAACATGACCACTACAGATACATGTTACGTAATCTGAATGCATTTTATTTCAATTATCACCACCAACACCACCACCACCACTGAAAATTTTGTTTATTTTCCTAAATTTTTGACCTATAACTAAAGTGTAAACACATTTATCCAGGCTATTATTATTATTCTCATTACAATTAGTACGTTTGTCATCTCAATAATAGTTTACACTTCTAACTTGTTACATTTAGTTGCGTAATCTTTTTTTATTGTCCTGATATTAGTTTAATATTTTTCATTTGTTCATTTGATCAATCTTGACTATAGAACAATAAAAAAAAATGATCAGGGAATTGTCAAATGTAAAGATTCAACCTATTACGAATTAGAGAAAGGGGGGGGGGAAATGCAAATATCTTTGTTACATGAAATCTCGAAGTGATGCCAAATGATCAGAACACTTGAAATTGAACCAACAAGTTTTAATCTCAAATGTCACCTTACCAGCTTCAGTTTATCCTTCCGGGACAATATCGCTAACTCTAATATACATACAATTAGAGAGTGACTGAAAGTTGGGTGTATATAAGTTTGGGCTCGATAAATTATTAATTGGATCGAACCTTCTCTCTAAGTATATCAATGACAGTGAAAATCGATTATTCTGTGCTCGGTTCGTCTGCTGGTTGATTAACACTGTGTAATATGCAACCTAAGTGCTCGAGATGATAGTGATAATTCATCTTATAGTAAACTGTTTTCGTTTTGGACAGTGCACTTAACTTTAAAAAAATAAGACAGTAAATACTATTTCCTTTCTTTAAAAAAACAACAATAACAGTGAAATACCTTTCTTGTCGTTTTTGTAAGGTGAACGTTCTGGAGTAATTTCACAAGATGAATAATTTGTACATCCACCTTCTCGTCGTCTTCTTGGTCGATGTGGATTCGAAGGAATATTCACTTCGAAAGAATTTGAATAACCAGAATCGGATTTTTGACGAGTTATCAAGGATTGTTTGAGTAATGTAGATGATTCATTATTCAAAGATTTTCTTGGTGATAAAGATGATCTTAGAATGTCTACATCAATAGTATAATGTTGTGCATCTTTAAATGCATTATATACATATTGTAATGCTCTAGAAAACAATAAAATGAAGAATTAATTAATTACTAATTAGTCAGATGGAAACAACTTAAAAGATTTCCCATCAGCTGTTGGAACTAATTCATATTGATAAATCTTGATTTCAAAGGTTGAGATCATGATTCGATTGAAGCAAGTTCACTATGGAAAACCTGGAAGCACTGGACAGCCGTTTCGTCCTATTGTGGGCCGTCCAGTGCTTCCAGGTTTTCCATAGTGAACTAGCTTCAACCGAATCATGATCTTAACCTATGAAATTACTATAATATGCACAAAACCCTCCTTTTGATAGAACACTAATCTTCAAGTTATTGATATCAAGGAATAGTTCTATTAGTAATTGTGACATTAAATTATGCAAAGTTTCAATTGCACAATAAGTGTCCCTTCAAGATTCAGATACATCTTGTTGAGGAATGTCAATTATTGGAAATCAAACATAATGTATAACATCATTTATTTATTTATTTTAACACATAGATATTGGTACAAGGAGGCACCAAATACATATGCGCCACACAAATCTCAATTGATTTGTGTGAGGGCTGTGATACTACCCGGGTGCCCAAACCGAAACAGGTGGTTTTATTAGGGGGCCACACACCGAGCCTTCGACCTGAAGATCTGATCCACAAGGCAGTGGAGCATCGTGAGGAGATGCAGTCCCGTGGTAGCCGGTGACCAACGATTGGTTCATACGCCATTTGTTCCTTCAGAATACTGGAGTCAGCCCATGTGCACCATTGGTTTAGAATCCGGTTAAAGCCGGTGCCGGACATTCGCTTTTCGTCCTCTCATTTTCGTAAACAGCACCCGTAGTGAGAGAAGGCAGTGACTAGGATTTCCCTGGAAGAGGCTATATACGCGTGGTCATTTGATAGCATATGGAGAGGGAGAGCGGACTCTCTCCACTCTCGGCCGTACCAGGGCATGAAATTTAATCACTTACACTAGTGACTACATAAGAAATTTCATTACAGTTAAATAAAACATTGGATACAACTCAATGATTAATTTGCGTACACTACAGAAAAAAAATTTATTTCGGTTTAAATAAAGCAGTTAGCAATCTCAGACAGACAGTGTATAAATTAAGGTCAAATACATGAACTTTTAAATTCTTGTTAGTAACTTAGTCCGAAGTTAGCAACTTTAATCGTAAGTAAATAGATCATAGAATAATAATAATAATTTTTCTTCAGTTTGTTTAAAATAGCACTTAGTACTTTAAACACTAATCCAAGATTAAGATCAATGTGTATATGTGTATATTTCTATACTACTTGGATTAAAACTTGAATATTCCTGATCAAAACACATTATTGGTGACATCAATTTGATTATACATGACTATTAATCCCTTAATCACAAATTTTTAAGCTGAATCTCATGTACTGACCGTTTTCATAAACTTTTGCATGAAGTGCAAATTATGTAATTGTATCGAAGAAGTAATATATAGAATTTATAACCTACTAATATAATTCAATTTGTATTGATTTTGTGAATCTTCCGACTAATGTTTAGGATTGCAATTGATCTGTCTCTTATTGACATATGTGTATCCTGTACGGATTGCCTTGAATAACAAGCATGATAAGCAAAAATAGATAGTGGCTATCAGTGAAATCCGAGACACGTGTTCCGTCCTATTTGGGACTCATTGGTTGGATGTACCTGCATCCCAGAGTTAATGGTCAACCCCAGGAGACGAACTCAGTATCGTTTGCTTCAAACGCCATCTCTTTATTCAACTGATGAGTGTCAAATAGAACTTGAAAATGTTCACCTACTTATTAGGGCTATATGAAAATTACAAACCAGTGTGAGTAATTAGAATTGTGATTTACAATTGACGGTTAGGATAAGGAATTAATTACATTTAGAGTTTTCATCACAAACTGATATCAGCTTAAATACCAAAATGCTATTTAGCTAAATAGATGAATGAATTTCATGCTGAAATCCAAGATTATTATAGTCTCACCTAATAATTAATATACACATAATGTTTAACATGATAAATGAATATCAATTCAAAAACATAAACAAACATATTAACTTACTCTGTTTCGGACATTGTCGATAATTTATGATTATTCACACTGACAATAATATCATCCAATTGAAATGGATTATTATTATTATTATTATTATTATAACTACTAATATGTACACGAGGTAGACAATATTCCGATTGTATAACTTTGTGAACTAATCGAAATCCTTTAAATCTAACATGTAAAAAAAAATTGAAAATGGTTGCTTATATGTTTGTTCTTTTGATTTTTAAGATAAATGATATATATGATATAGAATTATTTCAATGACAAGAAAGAAAGAAAGAAAGAAAGAAAAAAGTACTTGACATATTTCATGTGAATGAACAACAAACAAAATGATTGAAATATTCTATTTATAATGTATAGGAATTGTAAACATTTATTTACAATGTTTTGAATTCTGATTGGCTTATTAAATGACCAATCATATGTCAGATAATAATATTTAAGAATTAATTGGGTAAGTTTATTATTTATTTTATTTAAGACAGATAAATTCTGATTAAATATCCTAATCAAATCAATTAATGAAGAATCACTATTTCATCAATCGATTTACATAATTTAGCTAGCATTCTATACTTAACCTCAGATATTGTTCACTTGGGGATTTTAAGCGATCACACGAAGACATCTCTACTTTAAAGGTAATAAATGATGCAAGGATAATCAGGACCTACCGTGAAGCCAAACTATTAATCCTGTATAAAACAACATGTTCAACAACTGACATGTTGACAAGTGTCTTTTTTATATTACCGTCAACTGTATCTATAAATTTAGCCCCCAAATGCCCTGGTACGGCCGAGAGTGGAGAGAGTCCGCTCTCCCTCTTGAAATGCTATCAAATGACCACGCGTATATAGCCTCTTCCAGGGAAGTCCTACTCACTGCCTTCTCTCACTACGGGTGTTGTTTACGAAAATGAGAGGACGAAAACCGAATGTCCGGCACCGGCTTTAACCGGATTCTAAACCAATGGTGCACATGAGCTGCCTCCGGTATTCTGAAGGAACAAATGGCGTATGAACCGATCATTGGTCACCGGCTGGTTATCATGGGACTGAATCTCCTTACGATGCTCCATTGCCTTGTGGATCAGATATTCAGGTCGACGAAGGCTCGGGGTGTGGCCCCCTAATAAAACCACCTGTTTCGGTTTGGGCACCCGGGTAGTATCACAGCCCTCACACAAATCAACTGAGATTCGTGTGGCGCATATGTATTTGGTGCCTTCTTGTACCAATACCTATGTGTTAAAATAATAAATAATAATCTATAAATTTACATGTGCATATCAAAGCAGCCACATTAGTCGAACAGGAAGGAGAGTATACATAAATTTTACAAATATATTCTGGAAAGCCTCCGATTAAATGAGAGAAATAAATAAAATAACCCGATTTCTAGATATCTTTTGGATACGGGACATCAGGTCAATATCTTGGAATGGTAATGGATGATAGTCATGTAATATGGAGAATTAACTGAAACCAGAAATGTAAACCCTTGAACAACTTCGTGATTTGGAGGTTAAATGTTCCCCATGATAACTTAAGGTCTTGGGTTCGATCCGTGGTAACGTTAATAAGGTACACTATTAATAAGTCATATAAAAGTACATAATAACTATTAAGAGCCTCATGGTTTTCAATTGTTTTCGAACTAAGGTCACTTTGTGGTGTAAACGTACAAATCTAACAAACTTCGCAACTTTTTATCAAAATTAACACACAATTAATTTTAACTAACATATAAATGAATAACCTGGTTCTCTAACAAAAAAATAGAACAACGCTTACTTTGTTTCGCCACCATGATGATTCGATGTAAAAGGTTTCAATGCATAATTTAAATGATCCCATGATGGTAAGTTTGATAGACGGAATGTTTTTAGTTGATAGTCATCAACAACATCGTTATGACGATGATGACGGTGATTAGGATTCTTCAAAGACTTACTACTGCTGTTAGTATGAATCGATGATGTTGATGATGATAGATAATCACTGAATTTGCTATCCACTCGTTTAGGTGTACATTTTCTGATATCCTCAACATTATTGTCATAACTTTTAGGTGATATTTCATTGTCTGGTTCAGATGAATCTTGATGTATTGCATTTGTATGATGAGTTAATACATTAATACCACCGAGTGATTGACGTAATACACTATGCCGATGAAAAGAACTACGATTCGCATGATGGTGTTGTCGACGTTGACGATGTGGTTTTTGATGTTGTGATGACTGTCGATTATTTTCTTGTTCATTAATTGGAGTGATTGTTGAATGAGTAGAATTACCAGTATATTTGATAGTGTAACTTTTGCTGTCAGTTGGTGAATAGGAAGAGTTTCGTTGTAGAGTAGCAGCAGTATAAGTAGGTTGAGATGCGAACTCTAAATAACTATTATTATTATTGTGTGTAGATTCGGTAGATAATGGAGGTGAAGGTGTTGAACAGTTAACATTACATGAGAATGGTAACAGAGCAGAATGTTCAGCCTAGAGAATAGGAACATCACAGCAAATAAGTCAATTGTTTTAGAAATAACGTCTTTCGAAAAAAAGAGTTTCCATAACACAATATTATTTTAATAATGAAAACAATATATACAAGTATTACTTGAAACCTATTAAGAATTGTCGAACTTGTTGGTTCAAAATATAAAATCAAAGAAAAACAGAAGATTAAAAACCACTCAACAAACAATAATCTTAAAGCTCGATAGTTAAACTCAAGTTTCATGTTAGGTCGCACTCACTAAACAGTAATTACTACCTGAAAACTTGATAAAATTAATACTCTGTGTGGAATTCGAATGCTCATAAAGCAGTTTCGTATCGAGAGGGTACCTACAACTGCAGAACTGAAATGTTTTCATTGACTGATGAAAAAGTATTGAATAATTTTAATTGTTGAGATCACGAGTCAGTTGAAGCTAAACCACCATGGAAAACCTGGAAGCATTGGACCACCGTTTCGTCCTATTGTGGGGCTCCTCAGCAGTGCACACTTACGATCCCGCCTCGCAAGATTCGAACCCAGGACCTACTGGTTTCGCGCGTGAGCACTTAACCACTAGACCACTGAGCCGGCATTCAATGGTGTTAATGTCTAACTTCAACTAATCTACGAAATTGAGCGACACATCCAACATTGTCATCAGTGAGTTACTATCTCACAACTGACCCCGTTGAACTCCACTGGTCACTACTTCTCACTAGAACTCCAGGATATACCTCTTGAAGCCATTCACTAGTGAGCATATGTTGATTATTATCAGGAGTCCCATAATAGGACGAAACGACCGTCCAGTGCTTCCAGGTTTTCTATGATGGTCTAGCTTCAATTGACTCATGATTTCAACAATTGAAATTATTAAAATCTCTACAAAACCCCCTTCTGATGAGTATTGAATAATGAGATGATCTAATTCTTCTTCTTGATCAAATTTTATCGATTAATGTTTCTTCCTATTGTATTATTATGAATCATATCTCTTTTGATAAAACATGACATATACTTTTAATAACCAAGTGGTATGAAAATTAAAGAAAAAACACATATCTAAAGGTTGAACAAAAAATATTGGTTTGTCACCATGTAATTGAACACTTATAATACTTATACTGTGAATCATTTACTTAGTACAAGTTCCTTTGGTAAGTTTCGGGGTTCACAAACTGTTTGTGTGAACATTATATTTCAGTTGTTTAAACCGAAATAGATAGAATGTGATGTCTTAACATTTGATTCATTGATTGGAAAATGAATGATTTAACCAATAAATTACCACTTCATAAACGAATGATATACTACTTAGTACCATTTTTATAATGCCAGAAATTAAATACAAATTTCTTAGGATTTACACTTAAGTTAAGTAATATTAGCTAATCTTCTAGCGAAATTAATAAACGATAGATGTATGTATTTATTACATCATGATTCGTGATATACAAGAGTGGATTAAACAAGATTTCTATGGTAACACCATATCAATTGATTCATGATTTCAACTATTGTAATAGAAATTAGTTTGAAAAGTGTAGTTATTTATAATGATTAGGATGAATAATAACCATTCAGACTTGGTGCTTTAAACTTAGGTTATTGGTAAAACTGTTACTGAATATGTCCGACTTTTAACCATCCAGTTCCAGGTTCAAACCCTATTCCGCTTACTTTCGATTAATATCACTAACTATCAAGATATATGGTAGTGAAAGTAAAATATAATTATTCAATGAGTGTGAACAAACAGACTCTCAGCCGACTGACTGTTAAATATGTGATTTCCTTTCCTATCATTGATTTCAACTCCGAACTCAATAAGTGTGACTGCTTGTAATTGTATTGAATAAAGTATTATCTAGTGTTATTTTGGTTCTCTATTCTGGATCGTTAATCCTGAATCTTATACAACGTGACTAATCTTTTTATCATATTAGCGTAGTATGATATTTGAGAAAGAGAAGTATTTTAAACCATCCATTATGTAACAAACTGAATGCACTTTAAAGCTAAGTATACAAATATGTATTTGGTAAGTTATGATTTGATATGTAAAATGATTCTTAAAGGACAATGTTGAGTTGTTGCAGAATATACTTCTCATTTCAAGCCTGGACTTCTTCCTCTAGTTAGCTGGGGCTGGGACGCGTCAATAGATAGCTCACTGGTCGTTGGTCACTGAATCCCGTTCTCGTTCGCAAACTACGTGAACCTCTCTCTCTCTCTCTCTCTCTTCAAACCCTAACAGACAATGGAAAGTTTATAATTCATTGGTAATTCTATCCGGTAAATGATGAATAAGAATCAATGATAGTTTTAGAAACAAAAAAAAAATCATGCATTATTTCAAGGCATCAAAAAGTGAAAATATAGTTTCATAGATACGCATGCAATTTATTAATTACAAGTTAGTTACACTTGAAACAATACGTTTATTCATTTATGCTTGAATAATACAAAATACTAAAAGAAATATAACGCGATTGTTGAACTGAAAAATCATTTCTATCAGCTTCTATTACTATACTCCTTAACACAAATGGAATCTGTTATATCTAAAGATTAGATTCGTAATATACTGCGTATAACTTCAGCACTTGAACCCTCTAAGTCACAAATGAGATAACAGAATACAAGTGAAAGGAATGCTATTCTAAACAGTGTTAAATATGGTACGAAACTATCAGGTATTTATAGTTTATTTTTAGTAAAAATGAAATCATCATTATTGTCGTCCAATCCGCATACAGGGGGTTTTAGAAATTGTCCAATAGGGAAGCTATATGTAGAGATTCTGGAATATTCTTCCAAAAGATGATTGGATGGAATATATTCGGCTCGTTCCGAGATTCCTCGAGTTCACCCGTGGGTCATCCTTACAGAATCGGTTTATTCTTCTAGCGAATCCACTCTTCAACATGATGTGATTATTGTAGGACTTAGTTCATTGACTTCTTACGATTTGAACTTAAAATACTGAATAATTTTGGAGGACATTTAACAGGCAATAACAAAACATTTGATAAATAAATTAAACTAGAGACTTATTTATTTGAACACATAAACATTATTACAAGGGAGCAACAAATATATATGTTCTACACAATAACAATGAAGCCAGTAGTAGTTATCATTGGTTTATGTGAGGGCTGAAATACCATCGGGGTTTCCAAACCGAAGCAGGTAGTTTTCTTAAGGAGCCACCCCCCAACCTTTGACTTAGAGGTCTAATTCACAAGGTAGTGGAGCAACGTCAGGAAATATAGTCCTATGGTAGCCAAAGACCAACAATAGGTTCATTCTGGAACCTACGTGCACCATTAATTTGAAATCAGGGTTTCTCAATCCCCCTAAGTGGATCCTCTATGTCCTGCTTTTCGTCCTCTCAATTTGGTAAACAACACCCCTGCGATGAGAAGGCAGTGAGTAAAACTTTCTTGACAATAGCTGTATACACGTGGTCATGTGAGAGCATTTTGAGAGGGAGAGTTGACTCTCCCCACCCTCGAACGTATCATGGCATTTGTGGGCCAGAAATAAAATTTTAGAAATTTCAAAAGATATTACAAGTTGAATTAATTTAACAGGATATACAATTTGTAGAGACCAAGAAATACAGGAGTTTATTCTTCTTAAAAAAAGGGGATGAGAAAACACTTTAAGAATTTATGTTTTTCTGTTCTTCATATTCAGAATGAATCTTTGATATCGTCACACAGATATATCATTGTCACAAGGCGATTATATTGTGAACAGATTTCTTAGTCGAAGAATTCAGTATACGCTTTCTATTTTATCTGGAACATTTATACTTGAATTCAATGCAACTATTATAAGCGTCATATTTTCATCCGCTACCCATCTATTCAACTGGTATAATATTCAGTATTAATTACCGATTATTATACAAATTAAAACTAACTTTTAGATACAGTCAACGCTAAAACATCTGTTTATTAATCAACCTATATGTCAATAGATTGGTTTGTAAAATGTTCTACTGTTTAAAGTGGATATGCGGTATGGGTTACTTATATCCACACAAGTAGAATATGACAATGGTCAAACATAGAATGTATTTCAGTAGAAGAACGATAAAGAAAGAACGGGAACAGAACGCAATTGGTATAAAAATGCATGAACAATGAAATCTGAGACAATAGTTTGATGTTTGCAACAAGAACAGTCAAGTTTGAGATGATGGATCGATATTTTGCAGATTTATTATGTGGTTCTCAGATTTTATTGAGATACTCTGTAATTTTATGCTCAAATACATTCGATTGTCTCCACTGGTATTCTTGTTCACTATAGATAGTGTAGGATTTAAGTAGTAATGTGAATGTTAACATTAAAAATTATGTTATAAGCTGTCATTTTCTATTAGGTTATAAGTTGGATACTGATAATTCTTTGTTAGTCGAACACATCATGATATAAGGGATTATAGAAATGAACAATAGACACATTCCAGCATGTTATCCAACTAAACGTATTATATATATATATATATATATATATATATATATATATATATATCCAGTGATTAACTGGTGGATCCCGGTCAACTTCGCTTGAAGTGACACAATTTACAATAAAATATCTATATTAGATTAGCAGCTCTTAAGCAATATCTCAATGTACTACCACGTTAGTTAGGATAGTATACCTTGAAGTAAGCCAAAATGAACTATAAATATATATACGTAACACATTTATATGTCACTTAAGTTGATTATGGTTTATAATGAAATTATCACTACTAATTTTAGTACTTAATTACTTCTATACAACATAAACAAGCAAACACCTATAATCTACACTATGCATATTTTCTAAAGAAATAAGAAAAAACAAAATATAAAATGAATTCAGTGAGAAATTAAAGTATTACTTGAGATTGAAATATACATACAGTTCATATTAATGGGAAGGAAAGGAGAAAAAACAAACTAAATTGAAATGTAATTTCATGGAAGATGGAGAA